TTTGTGTGTAAATGGCTAAAGTGACTGTCAACACCAAGCTCAGCCATCGCTGTTCATCATTTGAGTTTCTTTTCTTTCCTTTCTTTCTTTCTTACTTTTTTTAAATTTGACTCTTTCACCTGCTAACTAAAGGCTTCTCTCCTCAAAGACAGAGATAGTCTACCCGGTCAAATCTTTTGGGTCCATCCCTTGATATAGGGCTCATTTCAGCCGATTATGGCTCCTTGCTAGCAGAGGGACTGAAGTAGGTAGTTCTTTCTGTATATTCTTTTAACTGAAATGTACTCTTTTTGTCACATTATTTTTGATGTTACAGACGATCCACCAGAAAAAAAGTGAGTAAAGGGTAATTCTCTATGGCTCTCCTCCTAATAGCTCTCCATAATAGCTCTCCTCCTTTTACTTTTGTAATATCTTTCGGGACTTTTATTTATTGGTTATATCTTGGGTATGGTCAGAAAAGTAACCTTACTCCTAAGTATCCTTTCTGTCTATGGAGTAATCATAGCCTTCAACAGTCGTTGACCTCAGGGTTGCATGATTTAACAAGGTTCCTAAGGTGTAAATGCCCACACTCACAAAAACAATGAACTACTGTGCACTAAACAGGAAAAAGAGAGTGTGTTCAGACTTTTATGTTCAGTTATACAGCACTAATGTTATACAAAATTGTGGAACTTGTACTAGGATTTCATATGGGACCTGGGAGAGGATACATTCTAGGGTTTGTTTCTGAACAAGAAAACCGATGAAAAATATAGTTGATGAGCTTTTCTTAGAAAACAAAAAGTATCTTTCTGTCTCGATAAAGTTTGGAATAAAGTATGGAAGAAACCCATAGGGCCTTTATATACCTGCAGGCAATAATATTTGTCACAAAAAAAAAATAAAAAATATTGGGAGGCCCAGCTGTTCTCCATAAGATAACAATATGGATGTAGGGGTTTATTTACTCTTTGAAAGATAATATATGTTAAAATGTCAAGTATTGTGTTTTCTCCTTTACTAATATGTGATGGTATTTTTAGCTTCAAACTTGTTCTTAAACAAACTTGTTCTCAATTAAAAATGCTTACAACCTTTCAACAACCTCAATTTTAACACAACGTTTACAATAATCTTACATGCAATGGATCTCATCATAGACTAAATGTTAATTTTGGATTTCCAAGTAGAGCATCCAATAATCCAACAATGCCCTTCGTCTATATTATTGTTAAGCAGTGGAATAATTTAGGCTCAAGCTCAGGAGAACAAAATGCTCTGGGGGAGTTTATATTACGTCAGAAGGCACCACAGGATGTGCCAACAACAACAACATTCCGTTTTTTAGTGCTTTCTACCATTCAGGCCTGAAACAACTAATGAACATTCCATTTAGGTGGTGGGAATACACAAAACAATGCCAAGATCCGTAGAGAGTGATGATAGCTAATCCTAGGACTTATAGCTGGCATCAAAGCATGGTAAAAACTAAAATCATCCTCCTACCATGTCCTACCAAGTCATGTTGAATAGACATGTTTATAATGAATTCAAAACTGTTCAAACTGTTTGGTTTGGCAAGTAAATCATAAATGGACCACTAGGAATGGCTAATATAATTTTTTTCCGTTTTTTTAATGGCAAAAGCTTATTTTAAAGCTCCAGTCCGTAACTTTTTTTGGGTTAAAAATTATCCAAAATAATTTGAGCAAGTACATAACTAGCTAGAGTTAAATTTTCTGCTTGCCTTAGCTCGATTCAAAACAGTAAGCTTGTAATAATGTTTTTAATTTCAGTGGTACTGGTGGATTTCCGCGGGAGATTCGAACATGTCTTTGCGTCATTACATCACATCTGTACACATAAAGAAGAGTCTCGGCTTGTAGAGTATTGCGTGTGAGGATTCTGGAGGTGGAGATTTATAGCCTTTTCTCACAGCACCTGATATATGGCGGATCCAAAAAGGCTCAAACGACAATCACCAGTGACAACAGATTCACCCGCTGTAAAATGCAATGATTTTGGACTAAGAGTTCGGTGAACGACACACACACTCTCCTCAAAACATTGTGTTAATCTGCGCTGTGCCGTGTCGAAGTACAGCTCACGTAAAGTTGATAATTCCGCGAATAACTGCAATTGCAGATTTCGGACCGAGATGGCGACGAAGATGAAAACCTGCGGACTGCAGCTTTAAGAACTCTGATGATGACTGGATGGGAATGTTTTTGTTATTATTTGACACTTAATTCTTAAACATCTTCCTGATGTCCATTTCTAAATCTAATTCTGTTTCACTTATATGAGATTTCAATGCTGATTACAGTTGGGCAGTAATGAATCAAAACCGTATAAAGCAAGTCTGTTCTGCATCAGAATTTCAGTGATGCGTCAGCACAAAAGAAGAGTATTAAGTTTACTCCTGGCCATTGAATCTCTTTATAAAGAAAAGCATATTGTGTTGTGTGCTAAGAGTTCTGTTTCTCTGTTTTCTCAGGATACAATTAAAGGTGATCTAAGCGATGTTGGGTGACGTCACTTCTTGTTAACGTTCAAATTATTGTTAGAAAAAACGAAGGCTAGCTCGACCCTCCCTCCTCCTCATCCCGTCCCCTCCCTTCCGTTGCATGCGCACTAACCCCCCAACCCCCACCCCCCCAAATCATTCTTGTTGGTTATTGGCTGGAACACTGTTTGTTTTGTTTTGTGGTCCAGGTTGGACCAGTTTGTTTTTGCTGCCATTTGGAGCCTGGGGTGTCTACAGAGGCCGTGTGTTTTTACAGTGTGTCCAGGGGACAGGCATCTTGCGTAAAGTGAGATGTTGTTTTCTGTATGTGACTAAAAATGTTTCAGCCTAAAAAATGCGTAGCATCGCTTAGAGCAGTGTTTCCCAACCCTGTTCCTGGCGGCACCCCAACACGTATTCTTTGTCTCCCGAATCAAACACACCTGATTCAACTCATCAGCTCATTAAAGGATTAGTTCACTTTTGAAAAAACTTTTGCTGATAATTTACTCACCCCTATGTCATCCAAGATGTCCATGTCTTTCTTTCTTCAGTCGAAAAGAAATGAAGGTTTTTGATGAAAACATTGCAGGATTTTTCTCCATATAATGGACTTACATGGGAACCAGACGGTCGGAGGTCCAAACGACAGTTAATAACAGTTTCAGATGCAGTTTCAAATGTCTTTAAACGACACCAGACGATGAATAAGGGTCTTATCATTCAAAACGATCGGTTATTTCAAAACTTATTCCAAAAATGTAACTTTTTTAAGGACAAATGCTAGCCTAGCTCTATTCTGTGAGGCGCGTTTGCAACGTCACGTAATTACGTTCAAAAGGTCACGGGCGACGTAGCCGGAAGTACAGAATCAAAATCGTCCGACACCGTAGTTTTACCTTTTAATTCCTTTTTTGTAAACGGCGTTTGAGTTAGTTTGCACGTTCAACCTATGCGTTCAACTTGTAAACACTCTGACTCTGTACTTCTGGCTACGTCGCCCGTGACCTTTTGAACGTAATTACGTATTACGTGACGTTACAAACGCGCCTCACAGAATGGAGCAATGCTAGCATTTGTCCTTAGAAAAGTTACATTTTTGGAATAAGCTTTGAAATAACCGATCGTTTCGCATGATAAGACCCTTATTCATCGTCTGGTGTCGTTTAAAGACATTTGAAGTTGCATCTGAAACTGTTATTAACTGTCGTTTGGACCTTGGACTGTCTGGTTCCCATGTAAGTCCATTATATGGAGAAAAATCCTGGAATGTTTTCATCAAAAACCTTAATTTCTTTTCGACTGAGGACATCTTGGATGACATGGGGGTGAGTAAATTATCAGCAAAAGTTTTTTCAAAAGTGAACTAATCCTTTAATGCATGTAATTATGAGCTAATGAGTTGAATCAGGTGTGTTTGATAAGGGAGACAAAGAATATGCGCAGTGTTGGTATGCCGCCAGGAACAGGGTTGGGAAACACTGGCTTAGAGAACCTTTAATACATGAAATCATTGAAAAACAGAATTACTGTTGTGTAAGCCAGTGGTTCTCAACTTTTGTTGTTGACGTTAAAGACTCTATGATATTAAGTTGTATTAGTCACTTCATGAAAGGCAAATACCTACATGATGCACAGGTTTCGTGAAGTCCCCCCATTCAAAATTGGCAGCATGAAAGGTTGTTAAATAAGCTGTTTGGCACAATATATTTGCGAATATGCAGTAAGTTTTTTGTATATATGTTTTTGTACAATTTAGGTCACCAATTGATATCCACTGTAGAACCAGTTAAGAACCATTTTAAGCTACAAATAAGTGGTAAAAAGCTATTTGAAGCTTAAGTTTTCATATGATCAAGATTATGAGACTACTTGTTCCAACAACACATTTAATACCCCACAATATCAATCCAATTGGAATCACATGTAAGCAGGGTTCAAATATTTTTTCAGCTCTTCAGAATTGTGTGTGCCTGAGGTCTTTTGAAATCTAAGCTACAGCATAACATTGAACAGCCTTACTGGATTTATTCATGCAATCCTCAATAAAAAAAAAAAAATAGACTTTCTGATTTAAATCTCCTAAAACCTCTTGCATAAGGTATCTGGAGCCTTAAGAAACCCCTGGTGTCTTGGTCAACCACCAAAATATTCACTAAGAAAGAATAACAGAAGAATCCTGGGAAACTAGATTTTCTTTTCTTAACGTATGTTTAGAAATGTTGTTCGATAAGAGTTATCTTAATATAATTTGACCTTAAGTGAAATGAAAACAGCTGTCATGAAAATTTGCTCTTTTGAAACTTGTATGCCAACCTAGAAATGTACATCTGGAGGTCAACGGTTTCATTCTTTTTTAAATAAAAATATAATTCTAAACATTTCAGTGCGTCTGAGGAGCCCTAAGTGCTGTTCCAATATGAGTCTGTTCGGCAGTGAAAGACTCGGAAATGGTGGCAGGAAGTGTCGTCATTTTCTGGTGTCTCACTGTTTCTTTGTCTGTCCTCAGGTGTGGGGCTTGCAACGGTAGTGATTTCTTACGTGCTCTGCACCTACTACAACGTGCTCATGACCTGGGCTCTCTACTACCTGCTTCATTCGTTCAGCCCCTCATTGCCATGGCAATCCTGCAACAACACGTGGAATGCAGTTGGCAACTGTTCCACTGGTTTTCCTGGCAATGCCACGCATCTGCAATCAGCCAGTCAACAGTTCTTTGAGTGAGTGACAGATCTAATTTTTTTACTATGTATGGCCCACCCAATCGGTCAAACTACCGTTTTCCGATAAGCTGGGGAAGGTTTTATGCACGTTCTGTCTTTTCAGTGTGAAAAACTAGTTTAATTCCAATTTTCTTTTATTTAACTCCATTTTAATGCAATCTTGAATTTAGGTTGGAATGGCATTTGGTAATTGATCATTTATATGATACTGTATCTAGACATTTGATTATTCTATTTAACTCTTTACTTTATATTTTACTCGTTCATTGGGAGTCTAAAGTGCACAGAGAGCCTCGTGCCGGCTGTTTAACTCAGGACTCGCGATCACAAACTCCCCAGACTTAACTATACTGTTTAGAAGGCCACCTTCATGCTTTCTCTATCTAAAAGTATTTTGTTTAGTCCCCAAAGATCTGTATACACTTGAATTAAAGTAACACTATCTCTAGTCAGAGGTCATGACCACTTCTACAGATAGTACACCAACATTACTTCTCTGATAGTAGCTTTGGTTTGGTCATGGGATGGTTTCCCACGTACACTTAGTTTTAGTATTATTACATTAAAGCAGTGGTAAGGCTCACCCTATTTTGGTTGGCTGATCAACAGTTTGTTGTCCTAAACAGAAATTCTCTTTTTAGCCTTTACGATCTAAGTACACTTGAACTAGTGCCAAGTGTTAGCCGGAGCTCTAAAAGTGCAGTTGTTGTGCCCTATGCTCCACTCAAAACTGGTCTTTAGTCCGTTACTAAGCTGACACAGATTCGCAGTAATATCAGCCTTCACTTAATCTACTTGAGAAAATAATTCCATTGTAAGTCAGAATAAATTAAACTGTAACAATTTAATATTATTCAGGTAAATGTATCATGCCAATTACATAAATTCAAAGACAATCAATACAAAACATAAAATGCTCTGGAATGAAGAGTAAAAGATGCATATCTCACATTAGGAAAAATATAGTGCTGAGAACATTCAGCATTACAGACGAATCTGACTACAAATCGCCCTGAGCCTTTTTTAGCATTTCTTTCTATACCCAGACAAAGACCAAACATCCCTCAATGTGAGTCATGGACTTACAATTGGAATCTGCATTGACTAGGGTCATAAGCCTAGGGAGTTTACACCTTTTGAGGATAAAAAAAGTAATTTACATGAAAGGCCCACCATCCTCTGTAAGCAAGATACCTCTAAACTCTTAAAAACGTTATTACCTCTTGGTTTACTTCTTTGGGAATGAGACATTTGTACCAGTCGCACTGAGACATTTCAAATGATACCAGACATGTATAGTGTTGTGTGGTAATTTTTCACAATAAACCATATAGATTTTGGGGTGAATTTCAGGCTATCTCCTCATGGGGAGAGAAGAGATGGGGGGAAAGAGGGTGAAGGGAAATGCACAGAAAATAAGACAATACTGAGGGTATAATAGGGTATAATATAATTGTGTATGTAACGTCACACTACTGTATATTGAGGAACTAGTATTCATTTCCTGTAATGTAAATGGAAAATTGGGAAAAGTTCAATCCATCCATCCATCCAATTGAAATGTGTTGTTTTTTGTTTTGTTTTTTAATAGTCATAAGGTCTTAGAAATGACCAGAGGGATTGAGCACGCTGGAGGGATTCGCTGGGAACTCTTTGGCCTCCTAATACTGGCCTGGGCCATTGTTTATTTCTGTATCTTTAAAGGGGTGAAATCCACTGGAAAGGTCAGAATTCAAAGCTCACGTCATTTTTGAATAGATTCGTTGTGTTTTAATTATCTAAATGAAGGCAAAATAGAATATTTAAGCTACAGCTTGATAGTTAGTGGTTATGTCTTCGTAAAAATATGAATAATGTGTTAACTGTTATTGTATCTATATTTGTTCAGGTGAATAAACCTCAATAAATTTTAACCTAGTTGTTAAAGAAACTACATTTTATATATATATATATATATTTGTACTTTTGCCCTTATCAAAAATAAAAATCCCTCTGTTGACTCTGTCCATAGGTTGTGTACTTCACTGCCACATTCCCTTATTTCATACTAATTGCATTGCTGATCAATAATGTCCAGTTGCCTGGAGCAAAAGATGGTATCCTCTTCTTCCTCATGCCAAACTGGAGTAAACTCTTGGAAGTCCAGGTGAGATCATTTGAATACAAATACATGAGTCAAGTGGTGGTAAAAACAAACTACAACCTACCAGTCAACATTACATTATAGCTTGCATGCTACCATATCATTACTGTAGTACCACTGATAAACATCAGCATTGTTGTGGGAATTGTGGCTGTTTACCATTTAACGTATAATTTACACTGGATTAAGTTAATCAACAGGTCTAGAGTAGGTTTGAGATAACTTTAACATTGTCAATTCTTTGAAAACACCTGTGTATCATGTATAAACCAGGTCACTGAATGAATGGCAGGTTTTATTTATTTTAGATTTATGTTTCCCCTATTTCTCTTTGTGTTGCTTGTATAAATGCTAATGTACATTGCCGAACCCAATAAATACACATTATATTTCCTTTTTTAAAAAGGATCTTATTGAGTCTGAATGTGTTAACTACAAAAATTTTGTGATTAAATTGAGATTAAACATTTAGATTGATTGACAGGATTTTCATGCCCATAAAAGTATGCAAACGTTAAAAATGATTCCTGTTAATGCTTTATTTAAAAAATTTAAAAAAATGTACAAAAAGACAAGAATGAAACCCTGCTCTTATATGTCTTTGTTAATCTTATGTTCCAGGTGTGGGTCAACGCTGCTGCTCAGATCTTTAACTCCATCGGCATCTCCTTTGGTTCTATGATATCTATGGCCAGTTACAACAAGTACAACAACAACATCCTCAAGTAAGCGATATGGAAATGAAAAATTAAAAATACAAGTTAGGGGGGAAAAAAACATATTTTTACATTAAAATTAAATAAATGCATCTAAGTGTTTTCAAGTTTAATCAGAGCTAAAGGGTCTGTTATCTTCAAGAAATGCATGATTCTCCTCATCACGATTACCTTTTATTTTACAGGGACACATTTATCATCTCTCTGGCAAATTCAGCCACTAGTATCGTAGCAGGCTTTGTTATTTTTTCTGCCATCGGGTACATGGCTCACATTCACAACCTACCTGTAGATGACATTGCCACAGATGGTAAGTGTTTTTTTTTATTTATTTTTTTTGGTTTTATCAGTTTCTGCTGCTGTAAAACTAGTCCTCCCATGTCCTTGTGTTTTTCAAGGTTTGTTCACAAACATTAAATACATTGAATCGCTTGAACCACATTTCCTGTTATCTTTAATTGCTGTCTTCATCCAGCCATGAATCACAGCTCAGTTTCAAGGACCAGGGGGCGTAGGGCGTAGCTACAGGCACGCTGTCAGAACCAGGGAAATGCATCTTTTTTTTTATAATACAATTTACAGTTCTTCAATATTATAATTATTAATTAAATATAAATTAATTAATGAATTAAATATAATTATTTTTAAATGAGATTTGATTTGTCATGCATTAGAACTATATCATATCCTAATCTTAATAAGAATATGCTAATGGGTCTCTTCAGTTACTCTATGTTCTTCACGCCAACTAGCAGAGCCCTAATAACATTTTTATGTTATTACAAAAAATGGCTAAACAGCTATCTATTACACACAACCAAGTGTTGAGAATGTGAGCTAATTGGCTACTGATACAGCAGGAACCAATCAGCTGTGCCCTACAGACAATGATGTGAATGCAAGCAGGTTGAGTTTTATTTGCCTGCGCCAAAACTGACAAAACTTTCTATTTTGTTTCTTTCAATGCAAACTGGTTATTGACAACCTAAACAAAAATCCAAACCGTTAACCACTTCAGACTCTAAGGCCAGCAAAGAAAGTATAGATGGTCTTTTTGAGGAATTGTTTAAAGGGTATATGGCTAGAAAGTTTGTGAATGCACTGCTTTTCTAGCCGGAGAAATTGGTTAATTGGGTAGATTTTTAGTCTGGCATTGGTTATACGATATTTGCATTTAATAGGTTTTCTGAACTGTACATAGGTCTCATGTGTGCACTGTATCAGCCATGGTTGGTTGTCGATACAGGACTCATTGTAATTTCTCTTTGTGATATACTGTAGTTGTTATCAGGTTGGATCTCTCTGTTTCCTGCTTTGCTTTTGTTTTTTTGTTTTGTTTTTTACCTGTTGGCCGCTCACACTAAGTCTTGATCGCACTGCACAATCTGAGTGGGTGTTCAAAGGTATGTATCTGCAACACTAGTGGCACCTAGTGTAAAGCAAGCTTGCAAATGGCCCTTCATCACAAACACAGCTCTTACAAATGCTTGTAATAGCATGTCTTAAAAGGCAAAAGTAGACTAAATTCGATCCAAGGTCCAACATATGAGGAATACTTTAAGCTGTGTTGCTTTGTGTCATGAAGCAAGGCTAACACTCTGTCTAACACAAGCGTTTGGCTTAAAATAAATCCATCCAACAGATCTGCACCTGGCAATTCTTTTTGACAATTGAGGCTGTTCACACGGACTGGACACATCAAATGAAACTTTATAAACGGGAACATTTGTCTTTCTGAACAGGTTTATGATGATGTATTGAAGCGTTCATTGTACCTTGTTCATTTTGATGTGTTCATTATCTGTTTAATCTTGGACCGTACATACTTCACCTTTAAGTCATGGGTGTATATACAGTGATATATACAGTATAGAAGCCGATTGAAAAACATGGGGGATGTGAATTATTCCAGACCACCTACACTTTTATTGGCCCACCCATCATCCACTTTCTGTATCCACCACTGCACACAGGATCTGTTATTTTTCTTATGTGCTCTTTTCTGTTGTGCTCTTGTGATGGGTGTGAAATCTAATGCACTGTACATGAGTAAAGCAATCACATTTACAACCAAGTCCTAATTAATCTACACAGAACCGGGCACTGGCAATGTAAATACTGCTGTAACCTATTAATGTGAACGTTGATATAAATATGTGCTGGTTTTGTGTGTGAAACAGCCCTTGGGAAGTCAATATCAACACCTCGCAAGCGAAGGAAATGAGAACGCTGTGGGGAAAATTCCAGCTTCAAACGTTAAAATGAAGTGGGATGATAAATGAAACGTTCTTGTTCTGTACCACTAGAGAGGATAAGCGTGAGAGGAGGTGAAGGGTGAATAGGATTATGCCAGAGAAAGTGAATAAAAGAGACCATTCATGGGAGAAATATGTAGATAAGTAAAGAAAAAACAATAATAAAAGAATGTCCTTGAGATTTGAGCTGCCCTCAGGAGAACTTCACAGCAGTTTACAATACCATAATGTTTGTGTTTATATTACATTACAGTTTATATGATGTTGTCATTCAAGTCCATCAATTTATACCAGTTAAAGCAATGAAACCTTGGCAGTTATACAGTACTTCAGAAAATTATTAGTTTGCACAATGTTTGATAGGTTTGTTTTGTTTTATTTTGTTATTTTATTTTATTTTTATTTATTTTTTTGTGTTTTCTCATACTCATTTTTTGAGGAGGCATCTCTCAGAACAGCAGGCGGATCTTTTTTTTTCTGAGCAATGCAATTATAGTTTTGCTGTTCAGCAGCTTTGCTGAGCATTTCCTCATCATAATAAATGGTTTAAAGGGATACTCCACCGTTTTTTTTTTTTTTTTTCATATTAAAACTGTTATTCCCTTAACTAAGACGAGTTGATGCGTACCTCTGTTGTCTCAGTGCGTGCACTCATTCGCTCTGGTGCGCGAGACACTTTGATCCCACTTAACTAGCCCAGTTCATTCAATATGGGCCAAGCGGAGAAGCGACCGAACACCTCCATGTTTTCCCATTTAAATACAGTTACACGAGTAGTGTAACTCGACCTAGGACGGTGACACAAAATAAAACGTTGCGCTTTTCTTAGTGTGTAAAGTGGATAACTATATTGTACTACACAGCAAGTGCTTGGGAGCACTTCGACTCGGCGCAGTAATATCATCACTCGTGAAAAGTCCTCTCACTCTCCGGAGTGATGATATTACTGCGCCGAGTCCATAGATAAATATGTGCCGAGTCGAAGTGCTCCCAAGCACTTGCTGACGTATTCCGCCATACAATATAGTTATCCACTTTACACACTTATAGTGTTTAAAGTCATCTTAGTTAAGGGAATAACATAGTTTAATACAGTATGAAAAAACGGCGGATTATCTAATGTCTCTGACACTTTGATTCTTTAACTCTTTGTTTTCTCTTTGAAAGACCTTAAAGGGTAACTAAACCCCTGGTCAGAGCCTGACTCCACCCACTGGCAATATTTGAAAAATGCTGAAAAAGTGGGCAGACCCCAGCGGAGATGGAGGGGACGAAATAGAGGCTAAAACACTCTATCCTGATCGTTTTCAATATTCGCGATTCTAACTCCTGACTAGCTACAGTGGTTTTGACGAAACAAGCTGGTTTTTATACTGCCAAGGGCGTAGCTCGTGCCAAGAGCGTGGTGAGCTGAAATGTGCGAAGAACCGCTAACATCCAATAGGCAAATTCAACTGCAGTAGCCACCGTTCAACCTGAAGAGGGCAGCGCTAAGACGTTATTTACACCATATATTGTAGAAATAAAACACTTTATACACAAATGTCAAAAAAGTTACTCGAATCAATGACTGGTATTAATAAAGATCCATACTTACAGATCGTTAACTAAAAAAAGTTGGTTTAGGGTTTAGTTACTCTTTAAAATCAAAAATAAGACAGCTGCACTTTTCCAAGCCTTTCCATTCTATTTAGACTCCTTCTCTTCTTTTCTACAATATCTTATTTTGGGGTTTTAGTACTGTAGTAATGTATAATCTGCATTTTTTTGAATGTTGGAGAACAACAACAAAAAAAGGGTAATCGTGTTAGGCGAAGCATTACTAAACATTTAAAGTACTGTGCGACAGATCTGGTTCTTCTTGATGGCCAAGACCGTTGTTGCTAATGTTTGCGTTGGCATAACAACTAGTCAACTGGTGTCATCTTTCTCTTAATCGGTGTGATTTTTGTGTATATGTGTTTTTCTGCAGGGCCTGGTCTGGTGTTTGTGGTATATCCTGAAGTGTTTTCCACCATGCCGATCTCTCAGCTCTGGGCACCTCTGTTTTTCATCATGTTACTCTGCCTTGGACTGGACAGTCAGGTAGAAGAGAAGAGGCCTCATAGTTCAAGCATGTACATTGCACAAACTAGCTCTGTTCTAAACCTCAGAAAGCTACCTTTCTGTCTGAAACCTACATACAGCAAACATGTTCCTTCTATTAAGCAATTTGCACAGGACACAATTGTTTTTCAATTGTTTTCTCTGTGAACATGCGCTAAACTTAACTTTTGTAATGGATCTCACTGCTTTTTCAGCATCATATACTTAAATACTTGTGTAAATGTTTTTATAATCTGCCATTCTTTGCATTCTGTGCAACATATTGTATCAATTTTGTCAGTCAGAATTTTCCTATTCAATTCTATAATGCAATTCTGCAGTTATCTTCCTTACAAAGGATAAACATGATGTGGCCTTGGTAAATTTTAGTAGGCCACAGATGGCTAATGTGCTCATTTCATGTTCTTTCTTCTGTATTATCAGTTTCTGCAGCTGTAGGCCCAGTCTTCCCATGTCCTTGAGTGTTCTCAAGGTTTGTTGATGAGCAGGAAATTCAGTGAATCTCATAGAGCAAAAAAAAAAAAAAAAGATTATATTTATCATCTGCTTTTATTGTTAAGATCACAGGATTCTTATTTTCTCTTTGAGCTGTGTAAACTGTAAAGCTGTTTCCTCATTGCACACACCGGAAAGGCACAACTGTATGAGAGTCAGTCAATGTCAGCATCTTGTAAGCAAGATGAGAAATTTGAGTGCAGTTTAATTATAATAGATGAAAATGTCTCATTCTTGTGAATGGAAAGGTGATCAGTAAAGTGCCTAGCTCACCAGGTATTATAATAGAGCTATATGCGTGTGCAATTTGTACATTCACATTTGAACATTTTGGACTATTGTTTGTGTGAATGTACATATGTTTATCTGTGCAGTTTGCCATGGTGGAAGTGGCTGTAACTTTCATCATGGACGGCTTTGGCAAGAAAGCATTGCGAGTTTTTAAGAGGAAGGAGCTGATTGTTCTGGCAGTCTGCAGCATTGGCTTTCTGCTGGGGATTCCTCACATTTCCAGGGTAAATATGCTCTAGTTTCATATTACAAACAAATAATGTATTCTTATTTTTTGAGATTTTGTTATACTTGGATCATTTGGATTTTTATACAACTGTTTCTGGAACTGTTCCTGACCTAAACATAATTTTAGTTTCAGTAGATTTAATTTAGAGATATCTATTCTCAATCACTATATTCATTTTTTTAAATTTTATTAAAATTCAAAAAGTTCAATACTGTAAATCTAAGTTTTAATAAATTAATGTGAAAATGAACAGAACAAAAGTGGAGGGAAGGATATTATTTGATCTAATTTTTATTTGTGCACCGGTTTAACGATAAAAATAACAAAAGGCAATATCTAGGCCTTTTGTATATACTGTATTTTTAATAAAAAAAATTCAGAGTGAATTAATTGAAATGGACAACTGAAATGTAGACATTAAAGACATCATAAAAATATGCATCCTAATGCTCTCATACAGTAAATGAAAAGTAACTGGCCAACAAACAAAACCTATATATATATATATATATATAGTCACCTAACCCTGATTTCAATACTAATGATGTAATATTGTATGTGTGCAGGGTGGGATATATGTGTTTCAGTTGATGGATCACTACACAGCTGTGGTGTCTCTAATGTTTCTGGCCTTCTTCGAGGTGCTCGCCGTCACTCTCATATTTGGTGAATATCACTACCTTCAGTATGCACTTCAGACTATAGAAACTCAGATCAGATGTGGAGATTTGATGGTTCATGCTTTTCCATCTCACTTCTTTCTTGCTCTCTTCCACATCGCTCTCTCTCTCTCAAACACATTCAGGAGTGAGACGGCTCAGTTTAATGGTGGAGAAAATGCTGGGAAAGAAACCAAACCTCTACTTCCGTGTCTGCTGGCAGTACCTTTCACCCATGCTTGTGCTGGTGAGAAAAAAATGATGGGATTCTCTATATTTGATAATTGACAACTACATTCATATGCGTTTCAGAGTAAATAGCTTCAGAGTGCAGATGGTTTTAAAATACTACACTTTTATTCCCAACAAGACCTTTTTTTCCTAGTGAATCAGTGAAGTGACAAAACAATGACAAAACTCAGTTTTAATGAGACTGTATTGTGCACACATCCTTTTACAGGGAATCCGGGCATCATAAATGCCCTTATCTTCCCATAAATACAAATTTTAAAATTTAAGGACATTAAAAAGTCTTTAAAATCTTAAATAGAATTGAAAAAGAGTACATTTGTTGATAGTAATAGATATTTTTATAAAGTGGATCCCGATGTGTGTTTGTTGAAGTGCAGATCTGAGAGGTTGGGTGAGGTATAATGCTTTGCTTTGAATTAAAGGGATAGTTCACCAAAAAATGAAAATTCTGCCAGTATTGTCTCTAAAAAACTTTCTTTGCTCTGTGAGTCACCTTAAATTATATAGCGCTTTATACAATAGAGATGTTTTAAAGCACCTTTACAGTGATTTTGATTCAATGATGCAAACAGAATTCATTTCTTCTGTAAAGCAACTTTAAACAGAAAATAGTGTCATTGTTTAACTGAGGTCAATTCAGTGTTGATTCAGTTTCGTTCAACAATATTAAGTCCCCCAAGTAAGCAAGTCAAAAGGGGACAGTGACAAGAAACCCAAACTCAAGAAACCCAATTGTGGATTGATCATTTAAAATACTTCATCCAGTTCCTTCTGCTTGAAGATCGGGATACATTATGTCCACATTTGGTGGGGAGGAGTCAAAGCTGGCCATAGGGTCAGTGCAGAGGTCTGGTTCTCATGGTCTCCAGTGAGGATCTGTACCGATGGCTGTTGTATCGCTGAGGTCTTCACAGGGGATCTGTCTCTAGGGCTTGTCTTGTCATGGGCTCCGCTGACATTCAGGGCAGTTGTGGTCATCCAGATGCAGGTCCACCATCTGATCTGGAAACGGGCCAAATTCAGCTGACTGCTGTGATCTCGGGATAAAGGCCCGTACACACCGGGACGAATATCAGCGCGCGTTATTCGTCAGCGTTTTTCAACGCGTTTTTTGTGTTCACACCCAAGCGTTTTTCGCTGACGATGAGCCGAATGAACATGTAAATTAATTCCCTGACATTAGATATGGTGCTTAATGTAAAACAGAAATAATAATAGAATACTATAGGGTGATCATATTCATGTCTCAATGTTTTATTATGACAGATGAAATAAATGAAATAATGAAATAGATGAAACGAATGAAATAATAGCCTAATGTCTTCTGTATTAGAAAAATAAATATATAAATAATAATAAATTACTAAAAGAAATGCCTCCAAATGTAACAAAAAATAGCTCTCACAAACTTACAAAAACGAACTAACAAAATCTATTTATATCTTTAGTTTTCATTCTCTTTATCTTGTTTTTCTTCCTCGTCCACCTTGTTTGCCCTTCTATATTTTGCTGTAGAACCGATCTTTCCCAGCAGAGTTTTTGAAAACCAGGACATGTTCATCACTTAAAAACAGCCAGCACAGGACGTGGAAACAGGACATGTGTAACGCAAAGTTGAGATGTCGCCCAGAGATAAAAACATAGCACTAGCTGTCGGATGAACAGATGCACGAGAGACGAGAGTTGTCATATTTCCCCGCGTTTAATAAAACCACTCAAACGTCACACTCGTCCTCCTCGTGATACATGGGGATCGAGCAAGAAAAAAAAACACAAACAAACATCTGGTCACAATAGAAAAATAAAATAAAAGAAAGAATACAAAGAGTCGGCAGAGCGGTTATCTCCTCTCCTCACTTGTCAAAATCTAACTGACACTACACACACTATGCGCAGTTCTCATCTCAACTCAGATTTCTATAAAGCACAAAGTGACCGTTTTACACATGTCCCGGGAAAACAGGACTGTTGGTCACCCTATCCCTATACTATACTATTATTACAGAAATACTAATATAAATATTATCTTATAGCTCTTTATGCTCCGAGACCAGCAGCTCAACATTCATCTTGCCCATAGGTATCTTATCTCTTCTTCACCGTATGTGTGCTCGGCAAGACCGTTTTGTGTTCGCGCGCCCCCAAGTTGTGTTTTACTGTAACTTCAGAAGTACCTGACACGTGAGCAAACCCGCCAATCTCGTTGGTCGGATAGGTTTTGACGCGGCGCGTCAAACCAAAAAAACGAACCCGAGGCGTTTTTTTAATAATGGCGCTTTTACGCGTGGCGATTTTCGCGTCGGTGTGAACACTCACATTGGCGCCCATTGTTTAGTCACGAGACGTTAAACGTCGACGAATAACGCGCGCAAAATTCGTCCCGGTGTGAACAGGCCTTAAGGATGAACAGAGACTTAAAGGGATAGTTCACTTTGAATTTAAGTTTTGATATGTTTTAGCTTACCTCAAGGGCATCTAAGATGTAGGTGTCTTTGTTTCCACAGTATTTTCAGTTTTGATATTTTTAGGTCAAACCGTTCTTGTCTGTCAGTCATATAATGGAGGTCTATGGGGTCCACCTCAAAGAGCATGCACAGAGAAGTCCAAATTAAACACGATTTAATGACTCGTAAACGTAAGTACACATTGATGGCCTAAGACACGAAATGAGCGGTTTGTGTGAGAAAACGAACTGTTTTGTTTACACAGAGATTTCAGAAGTGTTATCCTTCACTGTGAAGATCTAAACATATTTAGATATACAGGAAATTGCAATGGACGACGATTACGATACATAAACAGACAACGTTGATTTTTTTTTTTTTCCCGCAAACCGCGCAAGAGATAACTTCCGGCGCAGACCGAAGCACCCGTGCCTTCAGATCAGTTGGACGTGGCTGTGGTTACAAGAGGTAAAAACGATATAAATACTGTTTGTTTGCTCACACAAACCGCTCGTTTCGTGTCTTAGGCCATCAATGTGTACTTGCATTTATGAGTCATTAAATCATGTTTAATTTGGACTTCTCTGTGCATGCTCTTTGAGGTGGACCGAGGGTGATTCCCATAAACCGCCATTATATGACTGACAGATAAGAACGGTTTGGCCTAAAACTATCAAAATTGAAAATACTGTGGAAACAAAGACACCTACATCTTGGATGCCCTTGAGGTAAGCTAAAACATATCAATTTCAAAGTGAACTATCCCTTTAATACAAGCGTAGATGCCAAGATGTACATCGGATGTTATGGGAAGTGTTCCCGGTTCCGGTTGATCTAATTTATGCAGCCTAATAATCCTTTAATGGATTTAGATTACAGACATGTGATAGTGTGTTATGGGTATGCTAGGTTAAAAAGATGGATTTAATCTAGATTTATTGATTAATGGGAAAAGCATCTACCACCCACTATCGATTTTGATATTCGATGTTGATAAATGATATTCCATCATTTTCAGACCAGCAATAAACATGAAGGAATATGATGCAATAAGAGCTTGCTCAAGTTCTGAGGAGCTAAACCATGTGGAGATTTGTAAGGAGATATTTTGATGAATGTTGGTAATCAAAAAATTGCTGGTCCCTATTGACTTCCATGGAATGAAAAAAAATATATATATATACTATGGAAGTTAATGAGCACTAGAAACTGTTTGGTTACTAACATTCTTCAAGAACAACTTGAGGATGAGGAAATTAAGAATTTTTATTTTTGGGTGAACTATCCCTTTAATTACAATGACCTCTTTCCTGTCTCTCTCTCTCTGCAGGGTATTCTGATCTCCAGTATAATTCAGTATACTCCAGCTCGATACGGTAAGTCCTACACGTACCCGCTCTGGGCAGAGGTGGTCGGCTGGGTCATCTCTCTCGCCTCCATCATCTGGATTCCACTTGGGGCGCTACATGAGCTTTGGATCACCGAAGGGTCTCTGCTGCAGGTATGTACAGTGCACAAACACTCCCTATATCAATATTTGTTGTGTTTCTCTCAAAATGAACCCAGTGCATTTCTCCATCTCTGTTGCAGAGGTTGAAAAAGTCCATAACTCCAGCTATAGATCTGGAGTTTGTTTCAGAGAAATCATCTTCCGAGTCCATTGCGATGTTTACCGCTCCTTAGACACATGCGTGTGTGTGTGTGTCCTCAATGTTTACTCATTTGAAGTGCATAGTTCTGCTTAAACTGAAAAATCGCATTTTATGTTTTTACTCGTATTTATATTCTGTTTATTGCGTCTGAAATTAATGTTGTAAAGTACGTCAAACATCAAAATATTCCCAGATTTACAATATGGCATTGATATTGATGAGATCTGTTTTTTTTATTATTATTATTTAATTACTTTTTTACATGTGTTTATTTGATTATTTGAAAGCTTTGAATAATGTAAAAAAGAAAACTTAATGTCAGACATTATACATTTCATGCATATTTTTCTTCGAGTAAAGAAGTGGAAAATATATGATGTTGTAATGAGAGGGAAATGACAAGATTTTGGTTGGTTTTCTCCGTTATTAAGATTTAAAATGATTAACCATTGACCTTTAAGCATTGTTGAATTGTATATACACTGATTTAAAGGACTGACACAACCTTGAAATTATATTTAGAATGTTAGGGACGACATACTTGATTTTACACATTATTTCAAAATTCAAAAACTGCACTAGCAAACACCTGCACAAAATGTTTTCATGAAACTTAAATTCCATGCAGTTCTTTAAATGTCAGCATCACTTTTTATTATGGGTACATCAACATTCACTCTCATAGGCTTTAGCACAGAGATCATAGAAAAAGAGCTGTTTTCAGATGCCTTTGTGTTCGCTGAGGACTAAGGTTACGTAAATTGAACACCACATTTACAGCTGCTTATGACGCATGCAGGTTTTGCCCTCTACTTTGTAACTTGAACTCTGGCACATATCCTAAAGCATATGAAGAGTTCAGATGCAAAAGCCTCTAAATGCCATTTGAAATTTTCTTCTAAAATGATCATTTTTATCAAGCTTATATATTCAAGTTCAGTAATTTCACTTAAATGACAATTAATAGGTAATCCTCATTGCAATTTAACTGAAATCACTGAACTTAAATATACATGCTTGATAAAAATGATCATTCTAGAAGAAAATTTCAAATGGCATTTAGAGGCTTTTGCATCTGAACTCTTCATATGTTAATGGTCGAATGGCAGAAAAACTTAGCCCAAGTTTACAGGAAAAAAATAGGAAACTAAGAAAGGTTGTAAGTTAAAATGTGTGTGCCCTTTTTAATAAGCACTTTCTGAGGTCACCTGTAAGGCCTATGCATTCTGATATAGATAGAAAAAAAACATTCATGTTTACTGTTTTTTTTTAATTTATTTTAGTATTCACTGTTTTACGATTTAGTGTAAAAAGTACCTTTTGGAGGGGGGAAAATTTGAAGTGAGCCAAAGTTTAAATCAAATTATCCTTGACACTTACATTAGAGGAACGCATATTTAGAAATAAAATAGTTTGTTTTAAATGTGCAATGTTCCAATTGATAAAGAATGAAGGATGCAATATAATTAGTAATCAATAATAATTAGTAATAATCTGTGCAAACTGTCTTGATTAGTTGTACCAAACCTTAGCACTGCTGTTATTTTGTAACGTATGTATATCATTGTCATATGTCATATAGTTTGTGTTACCTCAGAACGAAAACCACAGGATAATCATTCATATTCAAACAGTTCTCTATTTTGTCGACAGACTTTTGAAACCGTTTTATATATCTAAAGTGTCATTTTTATGTTATGACTGGCAGTTTTATATGCAAGTGATCTGATCAAAATAAATGGCATTGCTCCGTTTCAGTTTTTTTTTTTTTTTGTTGCTCATTTTGTGCAGTTCCATATTATGACGTGTAATACTGCCGTTTCACCACACGATGTCACTCCAGCTCAATTAACTACTCGCATCATTCATTTGTCACAAACAGCTAAGTGACTTGTATCATTTATATAGACCATTTCACAAGATGTAAACAACACTGGTCCAGAAGCACTTCCTGTTTCAGTTTGTAACTGTTTTCTTTATTTCACATGTCTGTTTAACATTTTGAATCAGTTTTATATCTTCTGTTGGTTGTATTTTATCCCAGCTTTTATGTAGTGTTAAAAAACTGAAACAGGAAGTGCTTCTGGACCAGTGTTGTTTACATCTTGTGAAATGGCCTATAATATAATAATAATTTACATAGGTTTTTTTTTCGAGGTACTCAAAATGCTTTACATGTGGAAGGGGGGAATTCTCCTCAGTATATGGAGCTGATTAGGAGGCCATCATGATAGATAGAGGCCAATGGAAAAATGTGGCCAGGATGCCGGGGTTATACCCCTACTCCTTTTCATCCTGGGATTTTTGTGACCAAAAAGAGTAAGTTTAACGTTTGTTTTTTTGTTTTTTTGACAGTGGGGTGTTATGACACACACAGACTACCGGTTGAGCACCCCCTGCTGGCCTCATATAGTTATGTAATATTTTTTCCAATTATATAATATTAATTAATAATTTATGGTTATAAATATATTTTATTATTATTATTATTTATTAGCACATACGTGTAATTAAGATGTATAAGTTATAATTAACAATATAATAAAATTGTATTGAATTAAAGATGATTTTGCTGATAATTTACAAGTTTAGCAAACGATTTGAATGTGCCTTTATTATTAGACACATTGCAATGTGGGCTAGGGATTGACTTCTTCCTCTAGAACAGATCAATTGCTTTCCCTGTGTCTGTGCACTATGTAACCCGAAAAGCGGAAGCACTAATAGAAGTCAGTTGAGACTGCAGTTGGGATGGCAGATCAATACCCTCGCTCAGTGCAAAAGCAGGCAGGATGCCACCACAGCGGCTCAGTTATGAGCAGATCAATACGCTGCAGCCTGCGATGGAGCAGTGCCTCAGTGGGAGAGAGAGATGTGCCACACTGCTGTTAGCTCGGCTCAAACAAGCAGAGGACATTTGGATGTTTGTGTCTAACACATGAATGTTTGTATAGGAAGCAGAGTGTGTAGGCATTGGATCTGTGTGGCATTGGGAAGTGATATCTTTGTGACCTGACAGGACCGAATGCAACGAGAGAGGAGCTCTGGGAGGTGCGCAGGTCTTTGGAGAGCTGCCCTAGGTCTTGGCCAACCTTTCTGTGATCTCTGGCTGACCCCTAGCTGACCTGTGGGGTTACTTTGCTAATGAACTCCAGCCAAATCGGCCTTCTCTTTCTCTTCCCTGGCGTGGGAGAGCGCAGGTGCGCTGTATCACACTCAGTGTAGCTGCAGGGGAGGGTTCACATTCAGTGAAAGAGGAAATCAGGCATAAAGGGAAATGAAGACACATGATGTCCCTCTTTTCCTTACACACACACACACAGAAACGGGCTGTGCTGATTGGAGGGGACATTTCAGCATTTGCTTTGGCTTCCAGTAATAATAACTGTAATTACTTTCACAGTTGTCCAGTTTTAGCTCAAGTTTTAGCTGATCCTGGATAATCTTTTTGTAATATCTCAACTGTTTGTCTTAGGGTCATATATTGCCATTTTTGTACAAGTTAATATGAATGTTTAGGGTCTAAATGAAAACTTTGTAATATACTTTTATTAAAAATTCTCATTAGTATTTTAAGAAAACACTAATTTTACCTGGTCAAAATCAGCTCCGTTTTCAGCACGCCGTTTCAGTGCATATATCTTAAATAACCCCGCCACTCTGTTCTGCAGGCGACAACAGTTGAGGGATATATGCCCCCCATCCCCCCTCCCCCCCCTCCCCCTGCGTCCCAATTCGCTTACTTATACTACGCCCTAAAAGTATGTACTCTTTTTGTGAAGAAAAAGTACATACTTTTGAGTGTGTAGCAAAAGAGTAGGCAAGCTTTGGGACGTACTATCACATTGCATTGGACTCTACGATCGGCGGAAGTTATCGAGCATCCTTACACCTTCACCGGAAATACTGCCGTGCATAGACATAAGACAGTAAAAGAAAGTGCATAGAGCCCATTGGGGAAGAAAAATGGCAGCGGGAGTCTCTGAGGACACATCTGTGCAATCGTATCTGTTTGAACCTGAACCGGAGTCGCACCCGGAACAAGATGACGGCCGCAAAGAAGTTCGACAATTAAGGCTCGAACAGGTAGTTTCAGAATGGTTGGTCAACGTGATGTCACTTTGATCTATCTTTGTACTGGCAGCGTAGAGTAGTGTGACATACCAACTCTGTGTGTTTACTGAATGTATGCGTAGTTCATTGACTGATAATGTTAAAACTAAACCTCATGAAAAACTTTTTCCCACGATTTGCAAAAAACAATATAAGGGTAATGAAACTTTACTACAAAATAATCGCGCAAATATGAACGCACTGACGTTGATCGTGGGAAATATTCCCATAGTAAACAAAACTCAGCCACTGTGTCTTCAGCGGTTCAAATTTAGGAACATCAGCTATTTCTGTGTTTATGGTTGAGTAAATGATAAATGTTTATAGAAGGTATTTTAACAGTCTAAAAAATACACAATTATCTTTCTTTTTAATTTCTTTCCGTCTGAGCAAATGATTCCAGTAGGCTATTTTCATATGTTTTGCATTTCAGAAGAGATCTCAAAATATGTCTCACATTGTGCTCATATTTGCCAATTTGCAATCAAAAGTCAGATAGCCTATTATTTCAAGATTAAAATGATCGTATTCACTGTAAAAATTTCCTGTTACAGAAAAATTCACAGTTAAAATATGGTGACAATGTTTCAGATATTATGGGTGGCATGCCTGTAGACTAAACAACTTATAACCACTTATAAAGTGATGTGTTGATATATAACTTTCAAAATCTGCTTTTTCAGCTTAAAATGTACTGTTAACCATAATAATAGTAAAACAGAATCAACATTCATGTTGATTCTGCTAACTTTTAACATTCATGACACTAAAACAATGCAATAGGCCTAAACATTAACTAAGCAAGGACTTCTGGAAATGTCTTTGTAGACTATATTCAGTTTTTACTTCACAGTATTTTATGGTAATATTGCATCTAATGCAATGTTCAACCATTTATAATTGTTCACTGAACATATGTAACAGACAAAGGTCAGTGCGAGCCTCAAGAGGCACCGCTTGAAGTGGGATGAGTGGGACCGGTTACGCGTGGCACAGTAACCAAATTTATAGTTGCTTTCTGGAAAAAATTGAAGAACCAAAAATTGGTTCTCTTGATTTATGAAACAATATAAAGCAATATTTATTTTGAACAGTAAATATTTTCTTTGCACTGCTAATCAGGAAAGATAGCAATGACTAAGATTATGTAAAACTACAAGCAAATGATAAAATGAATGAAAATTTTATGTTTAAACAAACAAGGCTCTTACTGTGGATTCCCATTAGGAAATGAAGGGGCAGCTGTGTAAGTGTTAACAGCTGAGTGTACACAGTCTGCCAATCTGTGTATTTGTGCCTGTATTTGAGTTTGCTGAATGAAGAAGGTCTGTATGTTTGTGTAGGGAAGCTGTGTGTCTGAAAACTACGATAAGGATGAATCAGAGCAGCGCAAAGGACGGAGAAATAAAGCTAAGAATACACCTTTACTCTTACCTTTCAGTCTGGTGCCAGTGTTTGTCTGTATCCTTCTCAGATCTTATTAAATGGTCTGTACACTTACAAAGTTGTCAATGCTTCGTTTTGTATTTAGGGACCCTCATTATGTTACTGTGATTGTGGGGCTATTTTGAGCCTTGTTAGTG